TCCTACCCTGACAAACTATTCTTCATCTTCTGGAGGAGGGTCTTAAAAAACATACCACTCCGACAGTACAAAGGAACTCCTACATAGGTGATGGGAAGTTCATGACTGACAAACCCAGGGTCCAGCGAATATGGGAAATGTCACTAGTAGCACAAGATTTGCCAAAGATGAATGAACTTTTATGTGTGTTGACCATATGGCCAGACACTACAATCTACAGTACGCGTCGAGAGCTCCTTCAAACACTGGAAACCTGGCCGATAACAATAACACAGTACCTGATATGTAAAAAAACAAACAAATAATAATCCAATTCGACGTGTACATTTTTACGTGAATTTGCAGACAAAAGGAAAAGTGAAAAACAATGTTTTTTTTATTCAGGATGTATTTCTTACATAATATGCGATATTTTGTAAGACTCGTGTGCAGTTTACATATTTCACTCTGCACCAATCATTAATCAATAAAGACTAATATTTTATGTAATAAATAAATCCCAAAGATAATCAATTAAAATGTGGTGCAAAAAATAAAATGCCAAGGATAGATAAATTGAACAACCGATACTATCTACATATCAAAAGTTAAAAAATCAAGCAAATATTTGATACAATAAAAGAGTACATTTTTGTATCTCACAATTCCTTAATTGATGAGTTATGTTTTTTTAATTTTTTTTGTCGATCACATTAGACTTTACTAATAAAAATAACAAGATGAGTTTTTAGTAATTAGGATAATTGAAATGTTGTTTGCCATACATATATTATTTTTCTATTATATTTCCACACATAAATTGAAGGAATAAAATTTTAGAAAAATGGGTTTATTCCTAACTTTAATAAAATATTTAAGTGGCTTTTGTTTATCGAAAATGGAAATAAATAGAATATTTACGATCGATACTTCGACTACATGAATCTAATGTAGTTAATTTCTCAAGAATGACTTTTCATAAAATGATAAATTAATGTCTAAAGATGGAGACTTAAATAAGATTATTTATGGGAAATAGGAGGTGAAAAAACATCATCCCTCTTTGGAAAAAGATTTTGATGAACACTTTAAATAGTAGATAGCCACACGCGCGCCGCTGCCCTGCCTGACCCGGGCGTGTGCCTGTGCTACGTGGGCCTATAGAATGTTTGGTTTGGAGTTGGGCCTATTTTGAACTCACTGACTAACTTTTGTCGGTTTAATTAATTAAAACTAGCTAATCGGAACTCGACATGTGTCCTCGATGACATCATCATCCACGTGTGCGCCAAGTGGCTCCCTCTCATCCAAAAGGTGGCTTCTGAACCGAATTGGTTTTTGATCCATGCGAAAATGTATGTACCTTTTCAGCCCCTTCTTTTCCAGAAACTTGTGTCTTTTGCACACAACTTTTTCAGCCCTATAGAGCGAACCCTCTGCCAGAGAATTATTCATTCATTCGAATTCGTGCACTTCATAGTATTCAAAAGCATATTGTTCATCATTTCCCGCGTGTTTAAGAAAGTTCAAGGCTCTATTTTTGTTCGTTGTAATTCGGATATTGTTGTGCTGCAAAATTTGAATCCCTGAAGTCGTTGTATCTTGGGGATAATGGACTACGAATGTGAGCACTTATACGGGTAAATATTTTTACGGACAAAGAATAAAAAATTTGCCTCGACTTTTTTTATTCATTCATCATTTATTTCGTAATATAAATATGGAAATTATACTTTAATATTTTTTTTCTAAAAAGAATATAAACCTCAAATTTTTAACAAAGGGATATTTGGAGACAATTAACAAAATATGATAATTTTATAGAAAAGTAGCACTTTCAAGAGAAATTTCTAAACTAGCGTGTATCGTCGATGGAGAGGCAAGCTTTCAGCAGTCCATAGCGCCACACTTGTTTTTTTACTTTGTTTTCAATCGTCCCCATTTCAAATGGCAAAAAATATTTGACTTTCTGTTAATCATTTCTGGCATCCAAATGGCAACACCACTATTTATATTTTTTTAAGTTTCACTTAGAAAAATTGAACTTATCATTTTGAAAATTATATTTTATTTGAAATTGTAGATTTTCATAATTAATTGAGATGTGAATTAATTGATGAAAAATTATTGTTTGTAATACTTATTTAATTTATATAACTAAAATTTAAGAAAGAAATTAGAATAAGTAAATAATAAATAAAATAAGTTTTACTAAATAAAAATGTTCTACAAAATCACAAACGAAGTCACATTAATGTGCAATCCCTATTTTTTTTTTTACCATGGCAAGCACACCGGACCTCAGATCTTAGACCGGTAGTGGCGAAGCGACAAACGGAAAATAATAAATCAGAGAGTTTGTGAGAGAGTATCAAAGTCTTATTCATTATTGAGTCCCCGTGATCTTACTTGGATTTATTAGAAGACTTAATATAGGAGAACATTTCTAATTGTTTCCTTTTTTAACTCGGCTTAATTAGGTTGAGATTTACATTTATTGGTTTACTTTCCGAATTTATAAATGGTATGAAAATCCAACGTCTTGCTCTTCCAATAGTTCTTCGCCGGCTCACCAACTACCACATTTTCTTCCGAATCTTCATTTCCCAGGCAAACACCTCTTTTTGCGCCCTTTTTAAGTAGTGAGTTTTTCTGTTTTCTAGTGGCGAGCTATTTGTGGTTTATAACCTTTGATAATGGGCTTTCGGCTCCTCAAATCCCTTCAATTTTCATGGCACACCTTATTTCGTCTTGAGTGCCCAACTTTGGGGGAAACTTGCCAAACTGACCCTATCAAATAGACATATTACATCTCAATATAAGGGTACTATGAGAACTAGATGCACAAACAACATCTACATACGAAAATATATGTGATGTAGGTGTATACTCTTTCATCTCTCCATATTGATATATTAAATTAGTAGTTATTTTTAATTTACTTTCATATCTAACCAACCCTCATTAGGAGAGTTGGTACACAGCCTCTACCAATAGGGTAAAGGTCTAGGGTTCGAGTCCCCCCCACCCCTACTTCCCCTTGCAATGGACTTGAATTTACTAAAAAAAATAACCGGGCCTACCTCTAAAAAAATAATAATAATAATTTACTTTCATATCTTATTTTATTCAAGTCAAAATATATTAGTTTTCTATAATATTTGAGAAAAAACAATTTCCATTACTATGGCATAACAAAAATAAAGATTATAATAAGAATGTGTCCAGTCCCTATTCTTTTATTAATGAGGGACCCAACATTCTTTTATTTTCAAATTTACTCTCCCTCTATTTCCTACCCTTTTTCTCAAGCATATCCCCTACCCATTACCAATTACTATTTTGTCCTTTTATTTTATTCAATTTTTATTTTTCGATTATTTATTTATTTAAATAATAATAAAGATCCGCTGCGTGAGCAACCCGACTGTGCCTTACATGTACTCTACTGGCCGCACTCCATCTTTCTTCCAAACGAGCCCTTTTTTATCAGGGGTTAGATTGTAAGAGAAGAAAATGTTGGCTGGACTTTTTCATTGTTTATTGTAGTTAAAATTTCAAAAACAAAATGGGAGTTTATGATTGTAGGATTCGTGTTTTTTATTAAATCAAATTACTTGTACAGCTATATTGTATTTGTTACATACTGAATCATAAAAATCTAGTAGTACACCATGGAATTTGTAGTATTGAAACATGACTCAGTTAAAAATGAAGGATGAGACATTTAGTATTATAGCAGGGAACTTTTAGATTTTACTTATTTTCATTGTTAATTTTTTTTATACATTGCTGCAATTTATTTGTCCGTACATACACTTTGCGTTATTCAATATTTATTTTTAATTTTTCTCCATTTTTTAACTCAAAGGAATGCATTGGAGGACCGTATAGATTCCATTGCGCATCACAAAATGAAATGATTTTAGTATGGAACTCAATTGATGCGTGGAGATGTTGATCATTGGCGAGGGTCAAACATTCAAAGGATGTCGACAAGTTTAAAGCAATGCTGAAAAATTATATGGTGGCCAATATGCAGTTATTTGTGTACAAAAATCATGGCAGTGCAAAAATTATAGCAATTTATTGCGATAAATATTGCAAATGGAGATTTTATGCATCGGTGCACAATTCTGACAAACTATTTGGCATTAGAAAATGTAATCTTGAGCACACATGTATTGTGGTTAATCTTCGCGCGCCGGGACATCCTAAAGATGATTCTGGTTGGGTTGCTAGCATTATAAAGGATAAATTGAGAGGAGATCCAAACTACAGGCCAATTACTGTGTTGGATGATATCAACAGACAATATGGTGTCGAACTTAAGTACCACAAAGCATGGAGAGGTAAATAAATTGCTATGCATGATATCCATGGGGCAGACGGAGAAAGGATGTTATGATAAATTGAGATGGTATTGTCTTGCAGTTAGACAAACAAATCTAGGGAGCGTTGCACCATATGAAGTTGACCCAATTAGTCAAAACATTCTTCGCCTTTTCACATGTTTCAATGCTTTCCTGGTGGGTTTTCTACGGGCATGTAGGCTGCTAATATTTTTAGATGGAATATATATCAAAAGTAAGTATAAAGGGTGCTTACTTAGGGCCCATTTGATAGGATTAAGCACTGAATGCTGAATGCTGAATCTGTTTCTGAATGATTAAGAGTTGTGACTGAATGCTGAATGCTGAACAATTAAGTCCATTTGATAACAAAATACCAGTAATGTCTGAATATTGTTATTTTCCTGTTATACCCTTATTTAATGCAACATTTTACTTTGTCAATTAAATTAAAATATAAAACTTTGTCGGACATCAAACATTTTGCTGTAGAATGAATTTAAAATATTTAACATAGATAACATGTAAATTTCAAACAACTAATAAATATAAAATTCGGAAATACAAGTAGCAAAAATATAAAAATACATTAGAGTAGCTAAAATTGACTTAAAAGATTAAAGTCACTAAAATTAACGTCAAATATTTAATAAAATTATAATTGGTCGCTCAATGCATCAACCGAGTTGCTATCTCATCACGGACATTTGCCATATACTGCATGTCTTCCTCCCCCCACCATGGTCCGGTTGTTGTACCATCATTCTCATGATCTTTTCCATCCTCATTCGCACCATCAAAAGGCACATTGGGTTGATAAAGCTCCTCAAAAAATCTATCACTAATACGCTCTTTTCTTATAAAATTATGCACCGCAAAACAAGCAATCACTATATTTCTCTGCACGTCAAATGAAAAAGGGGCCATCGTTTCTAAAATTGGAAATCTATTTTTCAGAACTCCATAAGTTCGTTCAATGACGTTCCTTAGTTGAGCATGAGCATGGTTAAATTTTTCTTCTTTGGTCAAAGCACGCCTACGACGATAGTCTCCTAACCAATATCGTACACCACGATATGGAGCCATAATCCTCTTGTATGTGTGTATGCAGCATCACAAAGATAGTATTTACCTATAATCATTACATAAATAAAGTAACATTAGATTTAAAGTATAAATAATTGAAATTTATATTGAATTTAAAGTAATACCAGCGGGAGGCCATGGAAAACCGTTTCTCGGATCAGCAATTGTTTCTGTTAAAACTCTTGAATCATGTGTTACCCCTTCCCAGCCTGCCCAAACGAACGTAAAAATCATATTAAAGTCACATATTCCTAAAACATTTTGATAGCATTCTCCCTTTCCTCTACCCCTGTACATATTTTGTTTTGAAATTGGGACAATGGCGTGTACGAGTGTTCCATCAAGTGCACCAACTGCTCCCTGTATTTAAATTAAAAAGAAGTTACATAAACAAGATAATTAAATAACGACGATTTTTTTTTTGACACAATTCAATATATTTACCTTAAAAATTCATTGTAACCTCCTAAAACTTGCCGAAATATTTGGATTCGGGTCAAATGTTGTAGGCACTATTATCTCTCTTGCCATATTCATCATTGCACTCAACACTTCGTGAAAATATACATGAATTGTTTGTGAAGAGTGTTGAAATCTACGCTTCATTACGCGAAGACGCTGATTATGCCCTATAATCTGCAAGAAAATTGCCATTTTTTCTTCTACTGATACATGTCTACTCATGTAGCCACCCTCGTTGTCTAAAATGCATGCTCAAACGAATATATGCAACACAGGACATGCGCATTAATTCAATACATTGTGTGTCTGATTCAGACAATAGCTCTAATGTGTAAGCGTGTCCCGACAATGCTGAATTGTTATCTCTATTTCTTGGTACACACATCAAATATCTTGGTCGAATTTGTGTGTACCAATAAATCATCATCAATATCATAATCTCGTATATTTGCATATTTGACCTGTTAAAATAAATGAACAGTTCAATATTTGAGAATGTAGATTTTATATGAAAAATATGAATCATAAAGTGAAATCAATTCAAGAATGTAAGTGTAAAACAAGTGTATCATTATTAAAAACGTACCACCTAAACAAGTCTATCGTCACTATAAATGAAACTAAACACCATAAAAAGCTCACAATGACTTACGAAACCTTAAAAAAATCCATAATCATATATAAATGAATACTACTAAATTCTTAAAGTTTGATACATAATCCTTTGTAAGTTAAAATTCATATCCCATGTTTTGTCCAATTCTTTTAATCCATGCTTTCAGAACTCCCACATTATCCTTAGGGAGTGCCACCCAAGCTTCTCTATGTCCTGCACAACTACCAAAGATTACAACAGCTGAAACATATAAGATGTCTTCTTTATCCCATCCAAGTTCATCCAATTTAGCAATGCAATCTGTAACTGAAGGCCCACTATTATTTTTTATCATAAACTTCAAAGCTGCTGACATCTCTTCTACTAAATTATTATCACTAGACGAATGTTGAATCTTTTTCTTTTTCTTTTTAGATTTTTCTCCTTGAGATTGACGGTTGGAATCGTTAGACTGAGTCTCTGTAGTATGGACAAAATATTGATCTTCATCACCACACAAAATATCTTCTATGTTATTTTGTTCCGCATTTTGAACAGTTGAAGAAAATGAGCTAGTACTAGGATTTGGATCTTGGGAACTAGGTCCCCAAGAATGAACCCCTGTAGCAGTGGTTCCATCAAATAGTGCTCTACAAAGATCTGGATATGGTAACGGTGCAAGTCTTAAACTCTTTGCTTTAGGATGTGCTTGTATTTAGGTAACAAATAATTCTTAATATAGTGGAATGGTTAATGAAAAGTACTGAGATAACACAATAAACTTTAACATTGGACCTTTATATACTCGGTTCACTCATCCTTTGTCATGTTGATGGTGTTGGTCGCATGATTGTAAACATTGCATGTTTTCGTAGTTAAAGGCAACCAAGCTTGATACTTTTGTTTCAAGTAATCGTATCTATTCTTCATTTGTCTTTGAGAAACCACAAAATTATAATTATTCTTGAGAGCTTTCATAACCTTGGTCCAAGATTCCGCCTTAAGACTTCCCCCTTCTCTACCATTTAAAGCAACTTCTTGGATACACGATTCGAGGAAACATTTATCGACTTCGTTATTATTCCATCTACCTCTATTATTTTCATCTGATTCATCCATTCTTACACTAATGGATGTTCATGTACAAAATAAAAATTAAAACTAAGATACAATAACACATATCATTGCTACATATAAATAAACACCTAATAAAACAAGAACTGAGCTAAGTGAAAATATTAAACCAGAAAACATGTATTGTTCCCAGCTCTCTTCATATTTTACTCACTTTATAACTATTTATGCACCAAATAACTATATCTATATAAAGTATTCAGTCTTGAATTATAGGGGTTCACCTTTTTCACCATCCTAATTAAATAACAGATAAATGCATAAAAATAATTTGCAATAGAATACCTCCAAATTTTTTTATGAAAGAAAAATATACACTCAAATGAATTTTTTCAAACTCCAGGGGTGTCCTGTTGCTCACAATAATGCTTCTTCTCTATCTTTTTTTATTTATTTAATTATTAAAGCATATGGTGTGTTGCGATATAAAAAAAAAAAATTAATAGTTCTCATATTCTCACAAATCTCTTCAACTAGTTGAAATAAAAACAAAACTTCAGACAAATAAAAGATATAGCATTAATGTGAATTAAAATATACAAAGTGTGATATAAAGTCAAACATCAGACCAAGAACAAGAAACGACAAACTCAAGTGAACTTCTTGCTAATAACTAAGCAGCCTTATATCCCATGGAAAGAAATTACACAGGATATCAATTTTTTCATAAAAACACACAGATGATGGTTGTATAAAAATTTCAAACAATTTCAAATTATCACCAACTCTTTCACAATTTACCCTATTATTAATAATTGATAGAGAATCTACGTAAAGCCCTATGTACCCTGAATTTAAATAACATATTTATTATAACACAAAAACACAGGAATATAAAGGCTTGTTTTGTAGGACATTGATGGAGAAGAAAGATATAACTTACCTATTTGAAAAAATCTCGTCAACAATTCCCGTGTGATATTTTTGTGGTTTTCATAGCAGTCGCCTTGAGGGGATTTTTTTTATAGGGAAGGAGATGAGAACTATCGTGTTATGAGGTAGGGTAGAAATTTAAAAGATTATTTAAGGATAGATGAGTCCAGAATTCATTCAGATGTTGCTCTGACCGAGTAAGCGTCAGATTTTTAGCGGAATCGTTAAGAGATTCACGGACCCGTTCAGATATTGGTACCAAATGGGCTTAATGGCTAATTTGCTGACTCGGTCAGCCCATGATTCATTAAGATGGCCATTAAGTGCAATCAAACGGGCTCTTAGTGCTGTTTGTAAGGATCCTAATGACGATCTATTCACTCTAGCATATGCAGTTGTTGATGCAGAAAATGATACTAACCGGGAGTGGTTTTGCAAGAAGTTAAGACAAGTTTTAGAAGGGCCCTATGGAACTAGGTTAACAAGGTATATTTTTTTCTCTGATCGACATTCAGGTCTTCTTAAGGTTGTCCCCATGATATTTCCTGGGAGCCACCATGCTTATTGTTTACATCACTTGGTGGATAATTTCAAGAAATAGGTACAAATTTATTTTTTGTTTTCAAATCCAATATTGCATAAAATTTCATATTTATTTTTGACAAATTAGTACAAAGGCATGCAACATGACATATTCGGTAGAAAATCATTAAACATAAATTACTACATTGTGATTATTTAATACTGGAACATTTTTTTATTTTTGCTTGCTGAAGAAGAAAAACATATTGTAAGATGATCCGTAACAAAGCATGCAATATTATTTACTTTAAATACAGGTTTTGAGAAGATACCCTTTACATAACAAGACTCATTAGGCTTCTGTCTTGAAAAAAGCTGCTTATGCTCCTACAATGCAACAGTACAAGTTCGACATTAAGAATATTTTAGATTCAATGCCTCTTGTTGAGGACTTATTATGAGATCTAAGTCGCAATGTTGCGCGAATTCACTATTTCCTAAAAATCGATGGGGCGTGATAAATAATAATCAGGCAGAATGTTGGAATGGTTGGATGAAACGTGCCCGATTTATGCCCGTTGTAACTATGGTCGATCACATTCGCAAGCAAATAATGAAGTTTATGCATGATCGACGAGAAGACTCATATGCGATGGTTGGAGAAGTTTTCCAAAAACAAGAAAAAAAGATATCACTAGATTATACGACCACACGTACTTTAAGGATTGATAGGTTTGGCACTTGGAATTTTGAGGTCATTGAAAAGGAGAAATCATATGCTGTGGATTTTCATGCATGGACTTGTTCTTGGAGAGCATGGCAGATCGAAAAGATACTGTGCAAGCATGCTTGTGTATGTATCGATTCGAAAGGACTTTCGGTATATGATTACATGGATCGTTACTTTAAGATTGATATGTACAAAGAAACTTACCAGCCAATTTTAAACCCTATTCCTACCTTTGATATGGATTTTTGGAATGAAGATTATGATGATGATGATGTCATTAATGCACCTGATGTGAGATCTCAGGTGGGTCGTAGAAGAACTCAAAGAATTCCTTCAGAAGTTCAGACTCGTGTTACTAAGTGTAAACGGTGTGGTATAACCGTCGCTCTTGTAAACAAGCAATCATCTAGGCCTTGTTGTTGTTAATGCCTTTGGTGTCATGTATTGAAATATTTATACACTTGTTATGCTTTTTCTGATGTGTTGTTATTTTTTAATGTTTATTAATTTTGGATCTTTTGTAATTGATTGTTCGAAGTTGTTTACTAATGTTTATTTGTGTTATTGTTCTTTGTAACAAACGACATTAGTGAATGTATGTCCCATAATGAAAAATGCAGTCAACTATTTTCATATAGTAGTTTGCATGTACTCATTATGTCACATGATTCTACTGCATGTGTACCAGCATAGTACTAAGTGTACATGCAGATCGTACTAAACGAACAAATTAAATAAATATTGGTATTATCAAATTTTATGTCATTTTTTATCATGTTAAAATTTGACTATTAGTAACTTACCCCATATTATTGTTCCAATAATTCAATATGGACATCAATTGAAATAATATATAACGGGGGTCAATGATACTAATTTTGATATTTACTTTAAAATAAATCGTCAACTGTTGGACACGACACAAAACAATACTAGTTGTCCCATGCGTTTATACATATAATGATGAACAATACAGACAATATGCAAGACATTTACTAAGGAGCATTTATTTGTATTTTTGTGGGTTTTGATAGTAAGAAAGTAATGTCAATATGCATTTCATCTCTTGGAATGTCTTCAAACATATTTGGGATTACTTTGTCTAAACTACTAAATTCGACACAAAAAAATACTAATATTCAAACTACTAAATTCGACACAATAAAATACTAACATCTACCTTTGTTTGTACTAATATTGTACGTAGGTTCATCTTCCAAAAGTGACTAAAAATAAATACATGAGGTTACTTTAAAACAAGATCGGCAATTTTATGATTCAGCAATGCGCACGCAATGCGTGCTCGAACCGCATCCATAGAGCAACTCTCTGCATATTTCCACATCCATTGAGTGCCTCTAGCATAACACTCTGCCCAAAAATACATATGCACCACAATCCACGGTACCGTCTTGTTGTTGGCATTTTACCGCTTCAAAAGCGGTAGGCAATACAATCCCCAACTTAACACACAAATATTTGCTGTAAAACTCAACCTACAATATTTATTTCATAAGTTTTTAACCAAATAAATAAATAGGAGAAATACGTGTTGAAAAATAAGAACTTACAATTTTCTTCACACCCGATTTGTATTTGGGGGTCATTGTTGAGTTCTAGTAGAAAAATTATTTAAGGGTTGTGTCCAGAACTAGTAGGAACCAATGGCAATCACTGTTTATCGGTATAAGAATAAATCGATATGTCGAGAAATTGTTATCATTTATTTTCTCCAATATATTTTTTCACATTGAATTCATGCTATGCATCAACTCCTTATAATTAATGTCATTGATGTTCACAAAGTTGATGTCTTTAACAATTCTAAGTATTTCAACCTATGAAACATAGAACGATGTATAAGAAGTATAAGTAGTTTTTATTGAATTATATATATATATATATATATATATATATATATATATATATATATATATAATCATTGATTTGATACATAATAGTAAACAGAATAGTAAACAGAATAGTATGCGTTAACCATACCTGTACAATTATTGAAATGAAGCAAATCTCATATCCGGTTGAAGTGAAATGTCTAGATAGAGTGATCATGTAGCAATCTATGGTATCTCCAGAAAGTTTTTAACCAAATAGTAGCCCACAAATGCGCCTTCCAGCGATCGCATATATGCGAGTAATCCATAAAATTGCCCTATTATATATAATTTTTTATTGATGAAGACAAATACAACATACAAAATTTGTTATCCCAAATCATCCTTGGACATAAAATTGTCCAACATTTCTCTATCAACATCAGCAATATCATCACGAGCTTTATAATCTTTCCGCCCACGATAGAGTTCATGTTCCTAAAACAAATGGTGCACAATTATATATTCAATATACTCGGGAAACAATATAAAATAAATAAACAAACAAATGATACAAATGATCTTTAAAAATATGTACCACTTCTAACCCCAAGACATCCTCGGGCATATGATTGTCCAATATTTCGTTATCAATGTCAACAATCTCATCACGACCTTTGTAATCTTTCCGCCCACAATAGATTTCAAGTTCATCATAAAACAAATGGTTCACAATTATATATTCAAGAAACAATACAAAAAAAAATTAATGTATAAAAATATATACCGTTTGTGGTGTTTCTTGTATAACAGTTTCTCGGCTACGTCGCGGTGTTTTTTTCTTCTTCCACGTCCATATTTTCTTGCAATGACTCTAATTTTTTTTCTTGGCGACGTGCTTAGTGATGGTGGAGTAACAAAACCTTCCGCTCTCTTTTTTTCTTTCCTATCATTTCTATTTTGAACATTTCGAACAATAGAGGAATCGTAACGTCTTTTAGACCGTATTTTTCTTGTTTCTTAAGTGA